TATTTAATATTATATTTTTAATATAATATTTATATAAGATTAGGTAACTATGTATATTAATTCGAAATCGGTACACATTTTGACTCATATTACTTAGCGAATTCGTAATCGATTGATTTTAGAATAGTATTTTAGGCATCAGGGTTAACATTGTGAACAGATTTCAACGGTTTCGACAGTTATAATTTTTAACACATTGCTTACTATTAATTAAATCATTTTGAAATGTATTACATTTTATTTTTATTTTTTTTGTTTTTCCAATGACAATATATACTTTTAAAAATGTTTAATTGAATAAAATCGAACCTATTTCAAAAAAAAACATACTAAAGTTAGTGACATAGTAATATTTAATATCAGTTAATTTGTTAAAGATAAATATTTATAATTGGAGTGTACCAAAATTAATCTGCTAGGTTTACAAAAAAAAAAAAAACGTTTTCTTTTTCTTTTTTAGAAAATGCCGATACTGGGGAAGAGTATGCTACTGTTGCATGTGGGAAGTTGAGAAAGACTTTTAATAAAATTTAATAAAAAGGTCTCTTGATATTTTTTGATTAAAGCACTATTTCTGGTAGAAAACATAGTTTAAAAAATTAAAAACAATGAAATCTGTAAGGCCGCGATGTGCTATAAATATTATCTGTTTTACCTTATTTTTGTTTCCGGTTTTTTACAATTATTTTCCGAACCCCTTGGAAAATCAGAAAATTACCTTTTTACTGCGCTAACTAAAATTTTCTTTTAGAAAAGTTACTACACTTCATATATCGGAGCAAATTTCAGGTAGAAATTATAAGGCAAAAATAAAAATAAATTAATATCATTGTAAATTCAATACATTACTCGCTACGCTCTTAAATCTAAAATTCTTAGTTTTTTTTTCACTAAATCACACTTTTTAATGTAAAAGATGCACGATTTACACATTTTGAAACATTTACCGAATTTTATAAATTCTCCTCTTAACCCCCCTTTTTATTTAAATACTTCGGATAAAACTCAATGCAACTATTAAGATTCATAATATATTATTTATAGTTTAATGCACACACCTGTCCTATATACGTATTAAATAATATTGTAATAGACATTTTTAGTATACGTTTTAAAAAACAATAATAACTGTAATACCGTTCGTAATAAGTTTATAGTAGGTTATCGCCGTAAAAAGTTTAATAAAAAGCCGGCCAATTAGTGGTGAGGGAGAGGAGGGTTCTCATGTAGGTGTTTTGACATATCGTTTTCACCAAAAGGATGAACTTCATAAAACAAAAAAATAACTAAAGAATGCACGCGTTTGTTTACACATTCACTCAACGTTGACTGAAGTAATACATAAATAAATAAAAGCCGAGCACGAATAAGATGTTTGAACAAGGGATTTGAAGGAATTGTACCTCAAGAATGAAATAGTTGAAGCATACTTATGTATGTATACATAAATATATTCAGAGAAGGCTCACTTCCAAATTGAAACCGTGAATATCATATCATATCGTTAGAGTCAATTCCACATTTTTCAATACACTGCAATCTATTTATTAATCATATCTATACACTTTTTGAGACGAAATTTTTTTTCTTCGAAATCCATATTATGGGCACGTTATAATTGGAACTATTATATAACTATGCATTTTAGAATTAAACAGCAAATAAAATAACAAAAATTTCATCACCATCAATGTTATAATTATCAAATATTAATATATTTTCTGAAAATTGAATATTTCTTGACCCTATTCACTCCTAAGTTAAAATTCTATTCTATTATCGATATTATATGATAATTTGGTATGCCTCATAAAGTGGTAACACGGTATTACCAAAATCTAATAATTTAAGCGAATTGTAATACTTATATTTTACAGAAAATAAACGAGACTTCAGTGTTTTATTAACTTTATTTTTAAATTTTAAGTTTAGTGTGGAATACATTAGTTTTACCATGATAGTATGTGTTTCTATTTGTAAAAAGTTTTCTATAAAAAATCTTGCTCCAATAAACAAATAATAAGTGACCTTTTTTGTTACATTTTATATCTACTTAGTGTATTAAGTGGTTATACTAAAAACTAGAATATATCGAAAAAAATGTGAAAAAAAACCGGATAAATATTTATATCGTTAATGGTTTCATTATTTTAGATTTTTAGTTTTTTTCTTTACCAAAAATCTTGATCCGAATTTTAAGAGTAGACTTTTTTCTGAAAAAAAAACATTTTATCAAGTTAGTCATTTGCTGATTTTTCCTTAACGAATGGGAAAAAACGTAGGTAAAACGAGAAATTTGTTGACATTAAAAATTTCATTATTTTCGATTTTGTTTTTCATTGAAATTTAGTTTATAATAATCATATAAAACTTATATTAGCCTTTTCTAAACGTATCAACATTTTCAAAACACTGGTGATTTTTGAGCTATTTTAAGGCAAATGCAAATGGAATTTTTATGTCGTTATTAGTTTTTATTTGGTTTTATATGCATACAGTTATTTGGCCAAACAGAACAGGTTGAAAAATAAATACGAGGTTCAATAGTTTAGTTTAGTTAAAAAACTTGAGCGTAATGTAATTGTTTTTTTTTTTTTTATGTAGATACGTTATAAAATCAAATTTTGACGTAAATCGTAGAAATTATGACACTTCAAAACAAGTGTAACTTAACTTCACACAAAATCATTTTTAGTTAGTAAAAGTTTATCGTTGCGTTTAGATACAAGACCTTTTAAAATTTAGTCTCGTGATTCCGTTTTACGGTGTATATAAGTCATAATTTATTATATGATATAATAAATAAATATGTGTGTTTTTAACTCGCGTTATATCGATAAAACTATAATGGTATATGCTGTACTCGAATTTGCAAAATAAAAGAAGAGGATAACTATAAGACTTCAAAATAAAAAGAAAAAAAAAAGAGCAACCTACGTTATTATTAAACTCAACCTAATCCGTGTATGCTTTGATTCCTACACCTACCAGATGTCAATGTCCAAACATAATTTAATAATTAATAATTTAAGGAAGGGAGGAATGTGTTGGTTTTACTACGATGTGTTTTTTTTCTATCTGTAGTTTTAGTAGAAAATGTGGTTTAGTTGGTGTATTGAGGAAGACTCTTTATAAAATTACTTGTAGTTTTTTTAATAATGGATAAAACCCGAGAAAAATTCGTGAAAACTGGAATATTTTCATATGGTTTCAGTTATATCTGATTTCGTTTGTAATAATTCAATGTAAAATAATCGTAGAAACTGAACATTTCGCTGTATACTAATATATACTTTATATTAGTCTTTTTTAGACATGATACAATTTAACATTTAGTCAATTTATAAGCAATATAACCATTTTAAATCGTCGAGTTATTTTTTAGTTGAATTAAGACAACATTGTTTTTGCCCAGTGCAAATGCTCGAAAATTTAAAACAAGGTTGAATATTTGAGTTTTAATTAGTAGCAAAAAAAAAAATTGAGCGTAATTTAGTAGTTATTTTTTAATAATCGTTACATTTTCAAATTTTAATGAAAATGTATTTTAGTAAAAATACAAATATTTCCAATGTGTTAAAAATGTCTTAAAATAAATAGGAAAGGTATGTCAAAATGTCTAAAAAATTATTTGGTGTATTAGGTGATATTAATGTGTTAATAATGCATTAATATTAATATGTTATTTATTAATATATTTAACAGCAGTGATGTCATTTCAATACTTGGTAGACTTGGGCAAACTTATTATTAAATTTGCCAAATGACGAAGAATGGAGTTATTTCTACTTCACCCCCTCCCATAAGAAAAAAAATCACTTCGATTATTTTCGTGATGTTTAAATTTTATTTGAAGAGTTGAAAGTCGCGAACATTTGTCGGAAAATAGTAAAATTTGATTCATAGGTTATTCATAGGTAAGGGGAAACAAAAGGTATACGGTTTTCCACATTTTGACGGTTTTTTCACCAGATCCAAAAAGGTAAAGACTAAGATTTTTTATTATTATGTCAAATAATAATATCAATAAATTTAATAGGTACTATATTATAGTCTCTATAACCCAGTAACATTTTTACATATAGAATAACAAGAATAAGAACCATCAAAATTTAATTAAAATGAAGTATATAGAATATATGTTAAGGTTTTTATGTGCCTTGCCACTCCTTTTCTCTTTAACGATTAATAATATCGTATAAAAAATGCGTTTTGGTTTTATTATTATTGTAGTTCCTCTGTCAGTTCGAATTTTACAGACAGACAAATTATTTCAATATGACGATTTTCAACTCATCGTGCCAAAAATAATACTAAGTGAAACTTAAATTTCAACTTATATACTCTGAGTGTGTTTTTTTATTCTGTTGCTAAATATAATATAGATTTATTTATAATGTAATTTTATGATTGTATGTTTATTTTCGGTTAACCGTTTCGGGGTGATAAAATTGGTATAATGTCGCAGTAAGTCTGTTTAGGTACATTATAGAAAATCGTAAACCGATTTAATTTTTCACGATCTCAGAAACTCGTTTGAAAAAAGTGTTTTGGTGACAATAAAACCGAACGTTTTATAAGTGCAATAGGTGTATTTTATTACTCGACAAGATAGTTTAACGATAAATTTCGACACGTCAGATTACGCCATAGATTAAAATTTAATGAACTAATACTATAAACTAGTATACTATAATATATTATAGAATTAAATATTTTTAATCTATGTCTTAACGTATCGAAAGTTGTTAAGCTATATTTGCATCGATTAACAGAGTTAACCTACAGGTAAACTGCTGCTGCCTTAGCTCACTCGTAATATGATTAAAAAAAAAAAAAAACGATTTATATATTATTTTTCAAAGATTCTTCTTACTATAAAAACGTAAAACTAAAGGGTTTTTCAATAAGAGCGGGTCGATGTTGAAATGAAATAAAACAAGCTATGTGCGAGGTATTAGTGAAATTTTTTTTTTATTTTAAAGTTCTAAGTATGCCAATTATGTTTTGAATTTAATATCGTTTAAATGTCCGCCACGGCTTCTCATAGTGGCACGAATCCGAGTGGTCCAATTTTCAATGACTCTGCCGCATAGATACGGTTGAATTTGAGCAATGGCCTGGGTTATGTTCACTTTAAGGTCATCTGTCGATTTCGGCTTATCGGCATAGACCTGCGACTTCAGGAAACCCCACAAGAAAAAGTCTAATGGGGTCAAATCACACGATCTTGGTGGCCAATTCACGTCTCCTCGGCGAGAGATAACCATACCCTCAAATTTGCCGTTCAGAATGGCTATCGTAGCGTTGGATGTATGGCACGTAGCGCCATCCTGCTGAAACCACATGTCGTCTACGTCCATACCGTTCATTTTGGGAAAAAAAAATCGGTTATCATCGTTCTGTATCGCTCACCATTGACGGTGATGGCCTCACGAACGTCATTTTCAAAAAAGTCCGACCCAAAATCCGCACCAAACAGTAACTTTTTGTGGATGCAATGTTACCTGTTGAACCTCGTGTGGGTTGGTATTGTCCCAAATACGGCAATTTTGCTTGTTAACATAGCCATTCATCCAAAAATGCGCTTCGTCACTAAAGACGATTTTTCGGCCAAAATTAGGGTCCTCTTCCAAACGCTCCGAAACCCAGTCAGCAAACAATCAGCGTTGTCTATGGTCATTAATTTTGAGCTCCTGGGTCAGTTGGCAAAATTCGCCAAGTTGAAGACTGTGAAAGACCCGAGTTCTTGTGCACGGCGAGGAATTGACTGCCTCGGGTTCTCCTGCACACTTTCACGTACCGCGGCGATATTCTGGACCGATCTGGCGTTTCTTTGACGTACGGGTGTTAACTGATCGTTTACCGAACCAGTTGTCTCAAATTTCGACACCAAACGTTGGAGAGTCGACTTTGAAGGATCACTACGTCGGCCAAAAAAATGGACCTAACGAGCGCAACGTTTGAACTACCGAACATTTATTTTGATAATAAGATTTTATAATTTGGACGCGCTGCTCTATAGTGTAACTAACCATGATGATTTGGCATTAGTGACTGAATAATAAACAATAAATTAGACAGACGTCAACAAAACGATAAGGCTATACAGCGCAGATAAGATCGGCCCGCTCTAATTGGAAAACCCTATATAATGTTTTACGTTCGAAAGTTCCGCAGAAAATTCAAAATATTGTTTTTAAAAACAGTTATAATTAATATTCTAATGTTTAAAACAATAAAAATTGTGATTCATTGTCTGCGATATATTTTTAACTATAAAGAAATCACACGTGATAAACCGAAAACAATTTACTTATTGTAAAATTCAAGTGCGTTTGAAGCCGCACTTAAAGAAGTATTGTTAATAGCACCCCTTCATTGTTCGTTGACTATGGTGTACATTTTAAAAAATATAAAAATTCTAGGACTAGAAAATCGTTCTAAAACCCTCACCAGTTCTACACGAAGTTTTTTACAAAAACGTATGTTTGTTTTTAAAAATAATTTATTGTTCTTCTATTGACAAATGTAACACGTCTTACCCGTCAGATCGTGCAATCTGGGTCCAGCGTAGAACATTCCTGCCCGTGCGAACCATTCCAGTTGCATCTGCTGGAGTTGGCCAGCGGATACGTTGGAACGGTTGGCTGCTGCGGCCGCTGCTGCTGCGGCTGTGGGTGTGGATGCCGGCAACGTGGCGCCCTGCACGCTCGTGACCACCACAGTCGCGGTGGCGGATCCTGGAGAACCACCGTCACCACGGGGTTGGAGTGGCTGGAACGCTGACGACGAGTGTCCGCCGTGATGGACATAGCTGAACGGCCCGCTACCGTTCCGGCGTCCGTGGTCCCGGGTTAGGATGGCCGTCGTCGGCGTCTGTGTCTGTGATTGTAGAGACGGGGGCCCGATACCAGAAACGGTCGTTACCACCGGGAAGCGGTCCACAGATTTTGCGGCGTAATCACCGTACGTATGGTGTAGCGATCGCATCTCGGAAACTGCGTCATCGCCGTCTCTGTATCCGTACCGAAATAGTCGGCCGTGCTCGGGGCCTGGGGACACTGAAGCGCTGCGGCTGGAGCACGGCGTGGATGAACAGTCAGACGACACAGCCGCCGGCGATGACGTCTTGTTATTGCGCCGTGGCGATACTTCCCGACGTCCGAGCAGTGCTTCAATACAGAACGACGTCTTCTGCTGCATCGTCTTGGATGGCGTTGATTGCAGCAAAAGTGGCTGCCGTGGTGGTTGCTGCTGCTGTTGCTGCTGCTGCTGCTGTGACGGTGGTGGTGAAGAATCGTCAACGTGCTTCCGTTTCAAGTCCAACGGACTCGCTGAGTATCGGACTCTACAGTCCGGGAGCGGACGCAAGTCTTCTTCAGCTTCGGACATAGTAGACATGATGTAATGTGGGATGTCCCGAATATTGTTAAACGTAAATACGCGTTTTTCATGCAAAGCTAACTTATGTTGTGGCGATCGATGCTTTTGTGCGATACACACGTGTAATCGACTGGTAAGCCGTCGGACAGCGGCTCGTACGTGTACACCGTGGCACCTTATACACGTTATATACACGACTACGGTGGCGGCAGCGGCAGCCGTCGTAAAAACCTGCTTTCCCTGGCGGACGAGGGGGTTGGTCCAACCCGCGCTCACTACCGCTGGGTATGACGGAGATCGGTTGGGGCTGAAGGGAAAAGAGGGTTAACGGACGCCACTACTCTATTGGCTGACGTCCCGCACGGGACGCCACGCCTTCAACCGGCACCGTGTATGATATTATACCGTCCGCGCGCGCCGGACTCCTCTAGTCGGCACTACAACCCCGCCGCCGTCACCATCACCACCACCACCGCCGCCAGCACCGCCACCACCACCACCACCACCACCGCCAACACCGAGCGCACCCGGTTGGATAGTTACGGGCTTTTAACAACTTGTTAGTATCTTCACGCCGGTCGTATTATTTGGCTTATTCATTTTTGCAGTTCGATGTGATTTCATAATATCGTTATTTATTATATTACGACAACGACGACTGGGTAATATTTTTTTTTCGTATTTCGGTCACGTTTATAAATCCACAGGGTAAACATTATCTTATTGTAGTATAATATCATACAATTTATAATATTCGTGAGTAGTCGAAAATTATTTGCAGATTATTTTTAATATCATTATAAGTATTATATGTAGCGACCAGACTTTCACAAGGTATATTATTAAATATCCAAACTTTCACAATGCGGACAAAATTAAATTTTTAAAATAGGTCTTGTACGGCTTGTAATGAGTATTAAACAAATAATAACTTTGAGAGGAGCTCGGTAAGCTGCGAGTAAGGGATATAGTATTAGTCATGATTTTTTTTTTTGTAGCCAAGGTAACACAGACATCAATGAAAATAAAACCGACAACAACGTATCGTTATTTGTTGTTGGTTTTTAAAAAAAAAAAAACTGTGCATTAAACATTGTAACGTGCATTACTCTACTTATTCCAGTGTAAAAAGTAATTTAATATATTTATGTTTGTCTAAATTTTTGAATTTTATATGTTACGAACTATCAAGGTTGCTCTAGTTTCTACTAAAATATATTATATAATATATATATATATAGCTTATAGGTACTTACATTGCATTATGTTACATTTCTTATGTATTAACTAGAAATTTCCGACAAAAAAGTGGTGATACTGCTGGGATATTACCGGGAACGGGTGTGCTACTGTTGTAGGTGGAAAGTCGATAAAGTAGAATACATGATAGGTTATTTAAATATAAACAATTGCTAACGAAATATAATTCTGAGCGGAATTCAACTATTTTTATGTGTACATACATTAAGTATTTAAATATTTTTCCCAATTATTACGAAAACTATTAGAAAAATATAAAAACAAATTACTTACTTACTACCTAGATTAAAAATGCAATAAAAAAAGTTTCTTGTGGTTTATCTATTGGAGCAATTTTTCTAATAGAAAACATAAGACGTAAAAATGTTTAACATTGAAATCGTACGCAATTTGTTAAATTTCAATTCGCAAAACACTAAAATAGTTTTAAAATTATCAAAATAATAAGTGCTGCAGTATATTTACTAATTGAAGGTTTTGAAGTATTAGGTATTATTATTTTTTTTTTTCTTTAATAACAATATAATATAAGAATATATTAATTAAAAGTTGAGTTGCTAGTGTAGTACATTTATAAATACGTGGATGATACAAATGAGAGAATAAAAGGTGCTTGTATAATGGTATTTGTTATAAAACTAAGTTTTATTTTTTTTTAGACAAATATCTGATCAGACAATTTATACACCTGGTAGGTACCCGAGTTTGGGTAAAGGTTTTTGACCGGATATAGTGGCCAAGAAAAATGGTTGATCCAAACCACAGCACCGCTGAAAGAACAAGACTATATAAATCGAAAGCGGAATCCAATAGCTATGGTTTTCTTTTAAATAGAAGAGAAATAATATTAATAAAGAAATAATAATAATATTTGTGTGAGGAATTGAAAAAATACAGATGATGTCATTGGGCCGGGACTCATGGAAATTTCCTATCTTATATATTTAAATGTTGCTTGTGTTTATTTTTCTTGAGAATTTAATATCTTTTAAAAAACCTAACCGCAGCAGTATAATATTTTCTTTTAATTGGTATTTACAATTTTAATAATATAAAACACACTTACAATAATTGTTCAGCATTTCAATTAGTGTTTATGCGTGCAAAGGTAACACTATGTATAAAAATAAATTGATGTGCTGCACGATTGCAATGTACATAACGAAAAATGTTAGAAAATAAAAATCAATACTACAACAGCAAACATTAAAAATAAAACATGAGAAGAATTGATAAAAATATTTCATAGTAAGAATTAAGTCAAGTTGATTTAATGTAATGTTGTAACAATATCAAATAGGTACCTAGGTAATAAAACAAATTTTAAACCAAATTTAATTAGTAGTTAGTAAAAAAAGTGTTTTAATTTTTAAATTGAATCGGTACTTATATATTAAATAAATTTAAAACAAGAGTATTAAATAAAAAAAAAATCATCTGAAAGTAATAAAATCACACCAAATGTCATCGCTGACAGTGGCGTTGATTTAGGTTGCTGGGTATCAGCGCCTGTTTTGTATTGTTTTAGTTTATATTTTAGTTTATGTTTTAGTTTACATTTTAGTTAGAGTTTGATAGTTAAGTTGATTTGTGTTAAAAGCCATACGAAATAAATAAATAAACACCAAATGTTATAACATGTTATTTACTGATTATATTTTACCTAATCTCTAGTTAGACTCCTTGACCGGGCAAATATCTAAGATCAACCGAGTGATAATAAAATTATAATTATTTTCTAGTTTAACTGGGGATTAACATTAACTGGAGTAAAAATTATAATAACTGGAGATGGATAAAATGGCCCTGAATATCTATACATTAGCGCGGACCCGGGACACCTTGCCGCGACCGACTCACTGCCAAAACCTAGCTATTTGACTAACGACTACTGCAGTACACAATGTGTAAAGCTATAATCTGCAGCTTGGAAAATAATTTTAGTACAAATATGTATAATCAGTACCTTTTTTCAGGGGAAGATGAGGTAGGGGTTTAAAACTTGTGGCCAATCTCACCTCACCCCATCAAAAAAAAAAAAAAAATACAATAAAAAGCAAGTGTCATCAAATATTGCTCAATAAAAATCTTACTCCCGCCTCCTAAAAATTAGTTATCAGTTCCCACATAGCATTTCGGATGATGATTATATTTATAAAATAATTTTTTAACGTCACAACGAAAATATTTCTAAGTAGATATTTTAAAAATAGTATACAAATATATATTATAAAATATTTGAAGTAAATATTTTAAAAACCATTAATTTGAAATATTTTGTGATTATCATACAATATATATTTTAAAAATAACTATTTTTTATTTTTTAAGATTTTTATCTAAAATATTTTTAAAATACTATCTATAATTGCTGAGCTCTTTGAAGTTGAGAGACAAGTTAGAGTGGCCGATAGGGCTGTAGACATGAGGGAGGAGGTTTAAGGAGTTCAACCCCCCTTAATATACATATATTAAATATATATATACATATATATATATTTAATATACATATATTAAATATATATATACATATATATATATTATAGGTATTATATAGGTATATATACCTATTATTTTTATTTATTTTTTTTAATTATTGTTATAGCTGTCCCGTCCGTCGTGTGGTTTTTAATATGAGGGTGGATTGAAATAGCTATATAAACCTTCTCCAGACATCGCAGAACATTTAGCAAAAAATTGTGTTAAAATAATTGGATCTCTAGTTGATATTTTTTAATATTTTATCAAAAATTAAAATGTATACCAGGTGATTCATTTAAAAGGGTACACTCCATATCTCGGAAAGTATACATTTTTTCCGGAATTTGTTTTCTAGAACATTTAAGAAACAATCTGCTCTACAATTTTATATTTATGTTATTTTCTGTCGACCTTATTTTTGAGGGTAAAACCACTATTTACTTTTGATTTTCAAACGCCAACCTATATTAAAAAGTCCATAAATAAATTAAATATTAGTTAAAATCAATTTTAATGTTGAAATTTTTGATTTCCATCGATGTGGTTTATCGTTGAGTACAAATTAAAATTAAAAAACTTTATGTGTCATACCTTCCCAAAATCCCAACTTCCCATCTACAACGGTAGCTGCACCCGTCCCTAGTATCATCTCTTTTTTTAAAAATGTGTTAATTTCTTTTACATAAATAAGTCCGTCTGCGAAAAGGCTAGTGGCGAATAAGTCCATCGGCGAAAATATTATTGGCAAAAAGTTTAGCGGTAAAACAATTGGCGGCGAATTGATTGTAACGAAAAGGTCGCAGCGAAATTGTTTCGGCGAAGTGTCCTAGACTACAATACGATTGAGAACGTTCGATGTTTTTTTGTGTACGATAGAGAACGCGCGAAATGGAACAATGAAGTAGCCGCTGACTCAAAAAAACAGTACCTATTGAAAACGAAATTATGTACTATGTAGGCAAACTGTATTCAAGTCAAAACTCATAAATAAATTATGAAAAACATAAGCAAAATTTCTAATAAAACGTATTTGTGGGAATTGAAAACAATTAAATATCCACCACGTTCAAAAGGATATAAATCTTGGTTGTTTTACATTTTAATTAAGTAATAACGTAAAATATTCCACACATAAAACGCTTAATACGGGAAACCAAGTATTCGGTAATGCACTATTGTGTATATTTTGATACTCTTTTAGAACCGCTCGAAATGTTTCATCTGCCATCCAATTTTTAAATGTATGAAGTGTGTTCAAATGTTCTTTTGTAGTGAAAATGAATATTTTATTTTCTTGTTTATATAGTAGTTGTCTCGCCCAGTGTTGCCCGCGCTATTTTTCACCTATATTTCTTTTTGGTTTTGACCATGTTAGTAATGAATAATAACAAATAAAAACAAATAGGTTGAAAGTGGGTAGTCTACTTTCGGTGGACTAATAGTT